ATGCTTATAAAATATTTTTGAATGAGTGTGTATATAGACTTCGACTGCTTGAAAAAAAAACAAAAAGTGTACTAATTGAAACAATTAATATTTATGTACCGACGGAGCTAACGTCACGCAAAAGAAATATTGCAAGCTAAAAATGTGCGCAACCTAAAAGTAAATACAAACAAATACAAACATATACAGACATCTAAGAACATATACAAACATATACAAACGTTTACAAACATATACAGAGATCTAAAAACATATACAAACATACATAAACGTATACAAACATATACAAACGTATACAAACATATACAAACGTATACCAACATGAACAAACACGTACACACATGAACTTGTTTACTCGTTCAAAATGCCACAATGCAAAAGTGTCAAAAGAAATAATTTCGTCCTGAAGACTGGTTAGTCGGCAAAACAATTTCTCAATTTTTTGGTTTGAAACATATCCTGTTTGTTGTTTGTGTTTTTATTGTTGTTGTTATTACAATCATTAGAGATGTTATTATTGTTGGTGGTGTTTTTATTACAATTATGTTTTTTGCGTCTGCTGATTGGCTTGCTGGCCTAGCGGAAAGTTCAGTGGGAATTGTCTCTTGATTGATTTGGTATTCCTTTTGAATATTATTGCACTTTTTCAAGTTGCATGTCGTCTGGCTATAATTTTTCAAGTCACAAGCAAAATGAATTTTTTTTCAAAAAAAAAACAAAACAAAACAAAAAAATACAGTTGTATGTATCAATCAATCGTGTATGGATTTTTTTGGAAGCAAGGAAATTGTTTTTGAAGAAAGGAACGAATGAGAGATGAAGAAAAATTAGTGTTAGGATCATTTTCTTTTTAGCTCTCCGTCAGCAAACAAATGTTCATTTTTCATTTTTCAATTTCTGAATATTTTTTTCTATATTTCAAATTATTTTGTTTGTGTGTAAATTTAGTTATCCGTGTGTTTGTTTGGATATTTGTATGTTTGTTTGTGCGTGTGTTTGTCAATACAGGAATATATACTAGAAATATCAGCAAGCAAAAACATTTGCATTTTAGTAAAAATGACTAGAGACAGTTTCAAATTCAAACGTTTTAAAAATAGGAGGGTGAAAATATATTCGCTGAAAACTTGAACATTTTGAAATGAAGCATGCCAGTGAGACATGCTGAAACAGACATGCAAACATAGATAAAATAAAAACATACAATTATAAAAATACACTCCTTGAAGCAAGCCTACGTGCATACATACAAACGCTAAAAGATGCAAACAAACCCATATAAAAAGAAATAAACAAACTATCAAAAACCCATACAAAAACATAGAAACACAAAAAGTTACACATACAACAACATACAAACCCAAAAAACATAAACATACAAGTACAAAATTATGAATCATTTTTTCCAGTAGTTCTTAAAATCTGTCTAAAAAATTATTTTTAATGACAGAGGAGAGAGATACTCTTGTGAAAGTAGTAGTAGTTGTGTAAGAGTAGTAGTAGTTATAGTAAAAGTAGTAGTAGTAGTAGTAGTAGCAGCTGCAGCAGCAGCATCAGTAGTAGTAGTTATTGTCGTAATAATAGTATTAGAAGTAGAAGTAGTTGTAGTAGCAACAACAGTAGCAAGGTGTTAGAAAACTTTGAAAAAAATGAAAAAATGGAAAAATATGCGAAAAAATCTTTCGTAGAATTTTTGGACTCTCCACTGGCGCTAACTACAATTCTAATTGTCATTGACGTTTGCCGAGAGTCACAATAAAAATCAGAATAAATAGAAAAACCAAAAAAAATTGAAAAATAAATAAATACGTTGTGTGTTTCTGCTCTAGAAATGCTTTCTGTATTTTTCTTTTTTGTGAAATTTATGTTGATATTAGCATAATGGTTTTGATTCACGTTCAGTTTCTTAAATATTCATACAAACAACGTACAAAAACATCAAACAACATTAAAACAACAAATAAACAACATATAAACAACATAAAAACTAAGGACAGAACTAATAAATAACGGAGAGAAAGAGAGATAAAGCAAGAGCGAGAGAGAGAGAGTGCGAGATAGAGAGAGAGAGAGAGAGGGAGAGAGAGAGAGAAAAAAGACCGTCAAACATCATGCAATCCACATATGCTTCATTCAAGGCACCATAAAACATACGACCAATAACATCATATCGCAATTAAATCACACATACACACACACACACACACACACACACATACACACACACACACACAAACATACAAACAGTTGCAAAGCCACAGACACTTACATAATCATAAGTACATAAACTTGCCACTAAGACACAGGAATATACAAACAATTACAACCTCATAGAAAAACAAATACACACACAGACAAACACACACGCACACAAACAAACACACAAGCATAAAAAATCTTAACAACCAGGAGGAAAAAATATTCAGCTAAAAACAAATTGATGTTCGAATTCGGTAAAGAATGCGCGCTCTCGCATTCGTCCGGCAGACGACCTAACGAGCGAGTCGTATCCGTCATGACGTCATAATCTCGTGTTCGATCTGTTTCCGGTATGCATCGTTTGTGTTTGTGTACATTGTGTATGTTGTTTGAAAGTGTGCGTTGTGTATGTTATGTATATGTGTGGGCCCGAATATGTGAAAGAAACTATACAAGTGCATTTTTGTATAATATTGTGTTTGAAGATGAACTTTGTCTGTGCTGCTGTGTCTGTGCTGCTGTGTATGTGATGTTGTGTTTGTGATGCTGTGTATGTGCAGTTGTGTATGTGTGGTTCTGTGTGTGAAGTAGAACGTTTGATGTAGACTCATGGCTCTGCACTGCAAGGAATGTACGAAGCACATGGCAGATACCGTGTGCATATTGGGCTGTTTGCTTCGACGAATTATTTATTTGAGAAAATTCTCTTCAGAAAAATTAAAGCAGATGTTGAAAAAAATTGCAAATTTTAAAAGAAGTAAAAATATGAAAGAAGAAAAGAAAAAAATATGAAAAAGGATAGAAAGACAAAAAATAGAAATGGAAGCGAGGATGACGAAATTGAGATAAATTTAGAAAGATAAAGAGATGATGAGAGAAAGAAAGAGAGAGAAGAAAAGAAAGAGTGAAAGAAAAAGAGTGAAAAAAAATGAGAGAGTAAGAGGGTGAGAGGGAAATATAATAAATGGATTGAATATCTTGGTCCGCTTTAAAGAATTGAAATGGAAAGATGAAAAAAAGCCTCGCTGGCGCCGACGAAAATGTAGAGAAAAATATTTTTGATTGATTTGTGGTTTAATGAATATACTTTTTAAAACCAACAAATCAACCAAACAACAAACAATCAATCAACTATCAACTAATCGTCTATTTAATCGATTAATCGATCAACAATCATCTAATGAAAAGACACAAGTTCAACAAATCATTCAAACAATCAAAAAACTTTTTGAAAACCTAAAAATCATCCAATAATTCAACCAACAATTCAAACAACAAATTAACCAACAATTCAACCAACAATTCAACCAACCAGTCAACCAACCAGTCAACCAACCAATAAATCGATCAACTAATTAACCAAACAACAAGTAAATCAATCAGTGAGTCAACTTTCCCAAATGACGATATCCAAAACTGGAAAACCTGGCAGCGACACGCACCACGGCCATAAACTTGAAAAAATATTCACCATACTCTTCCAACACGTTTTGCTCTGGCTAGCAAAAAATCGTCGCATAAATCAACACTAGGGTCTTCCTTCATAGCTTGCTTGGACCAAAAAGATAAGAGAAGAACTATGAATGAGTCGCTGGGAGAATTTTCGCTAACTTTTTGCAGTTGGTGATGTTGATGGTAATGTGTTGTGGCGGATGTTGGTGCTGTTGTTGCTTATGATGTTGTTGTTGCAGTAGTTGTTAGATGCTTATGTAGTTGTTTAGTATTTTTGTTATTGATGTATTGTTCAATGATGTTGGCTATGGTGTTGATGTCAATGCGACTGGTGTTGTTGCTGTAATTGTTGTTGTTAATGTATTTTCATTAAATAATAATTTTGTTGTTGTAACTATTAATCTGATGTTGTTGTTATGAATTTTTAATTTCTTATGACGATTGTGTTTATTGGCTGGTAACATTTTATTCTAACTTACCACATACCACACAACGTGCCTGAGCCGTCTGTTGATTAAAGCTATTTATTTTAATTTATTTCCTAACATCTTTCTTCAGATACAAATTTTCAACATACTCCCATTCCAGAGACTATTATTAAAAAAATAAAAAAACCATAATAATTAAACAACAACAACAATAATAATAATAATAATAATAGTAAAAATAATAATAATGTTAATATTCACCGGCATTTAATAGCTATATATATTATCCCGCTAAGAAGTCTTCGTGCGTGCGTGTGTGTGTGTGTGAGTGCGTGCGTGTGTGTGTGTTTGTGTAGGTGAGTAGAATTTTGATGTTTGTCTGTCTGTTTGTTTGTTTGTTTGGATGTGTGTATTTATTTACTTAATGTATAAAATGTAACATAATAAAATTGAAAGTATTGGAAGCAGTAAAAGTTTTGTAGCAGTATTAATAAACAAATTTGACGTCATTATCATCTTCATCTTCATCATCACCGTCATCATCGTCCTTCATACTTTAATAAAAATCGTTTCATTAAAGTTGATGCCTCTATTAATGTCTAATCAACGTCATTACAGAGCCAAATTTTCACACCACACGCACACACACCCAAACACACACACTTCGTTTTATATTCCTTTATTTTTTTTAATTAATTCTTTCCTCTACTCAACCTTCAAACATTCACATCACTGCAAACCGAGGTCATAATTCGGGTACTTGAGACTCGGGTCGGTATACTGCCTGAGGAACTCGGCATGATAACCGATCGGTGTTATGACATCCCTGACGACCGGTACTTGTAGCATGTGCTTGTCGGCCCACTGAGTTATTCGGTGAAACTTCGGGTCGCCCTGAACTATTTGAATCCCAGTTAGGCGTTCAAGAGCGGGAAACCTTTCAAACCAGGGCCAGATGAGAAAGTCAAGAAAGTAAGGTTCGTCGCCTGTGAGAATGGGAGTCGTCATCATTTTCATCATCCTCGTTACCATCGTCATTATCACATCATCATCATCATTATTATCATCATCGTCGTCATCATCACAACGTCATCATCATCACATCGTCATCATCTCTACCACCATCATTGCCATCGTCGTTGTCATCACCTCCAAAGAATTTATTCTGCAGGGACTCCTCAAAGGGTTGGAGGACTTCTTCAAACTGCTGCTTCAGGTCCCTGAAATCCTCCACACCTTTCAACTTGTTGATCGCCGCGTAGTACACTGCACACACCTTTCATTGATTGGTCGATTGATTGGTTAGTTGAATGGATGGTTGGTTAGTTGATTGATTGATAGAATGATTGGTTGGTTGATTGGTTGGTTGATTGGTTGATTGATTGATTGGTTGGCTGATTGGCTGGTTGTTTGATTGTATGATTGATTGACTGACTGATCGATTTGCAGATTGTATAATTAATTGATCCTTTTCTAGCCTTATTAAACTTTTCAATCATCATCTTCTGTTTGGCCCTCGTGTATGATTCTCTGGTCAGAAGTTTGTTCTGACCGTACCTCTCGTCCAAGTATTCGCAGCAGATTACCGACTCCGTGATTATCCGTTCTGTCAGTACCGATTGAAAATTTATAATTAATATAACGTTTATTTATGGTAATTTATGTTAAATTATAATTATAGTTGAAAATTTTTTAAATAAATTTATAATTAAACTAAAGTCATTTATAATATTATGACGAGGAAAACATTTCATTACGTCATTTATAAAGATGATGACGACGACGACGACGACGATGATGACGAAGATGATGACGTTGATGAATGGATAATGAATTTTTTAGCAGTTCTGTTGGATTAATTTTTCAAACTACACCCTTCGAGGTAGATAGAGAGGGCGAAATTATTTGAGATTTAGGAATTTTAAACAGCTTGGTTTTTTTTAAGCAGCGTTTAGAAAATATTTATTGCGAAATTTTAAAAATAGTGAAAAATTTATCGCTGATTCAAAAACGGCCTGAAGATTTAGAAAAAAAACAAAAGATACAAAACAAAAACAAACAAAAATACAAAAAACAAATATAATTAAAATTACAAAAACGAAGACAAAAGAAAACATCAAGTATTTAAACAAATACACCAAAATCGTTAAAACATCCCAAAATATCTCTAAACAGCAGCCCCAAAATACCCCAAATTACCGTTATGTTCAAGAACCGGTACAGTACCAGAGGCATTTTTCTGTAAGAACCATGCTGGTTTGTCTTTCAAGTTGATGTTCACGATTTCGTGTCTGAGTGAAGAAATTAGTGAATGAATGAGAGAGTGAATGTAGAAACGAATGAATGAATGATAAGTGAATGGAAGATTAAGAGAGTAAATTTATAGATGAATAAATGAATGAATGATTGATTGATTGATTGAATTAGCAAATGAGTGTAAATAAATGAAAGATTGAATGAGTGAGAGAGACAAATGTGAATGATTAAAGAACAAAAAATAAGTATTTAAAAACCGAGAAAGAAATATGAATTATGTTGAGAATTATAGGAAAAATTATGTATAGCAAAAAGAAAAATAAACAACCACCATAAAATCGCAAAAAAGAGAAAGAGTTATGAAAGAGAGAGAAAGAGAGAGAGAGAGAGAGAGAGAGAGAGAGAGAGAAAAGGAGAGCGATAAATAAATATAATAAGGAGAACTCGGCTGATGTTGAGATGATTACGATAAATTTACGAGAAAATACGGTTTATGGCATGCAGCAGGTAGTAATAGTAGTAAGCGTTGTAGCATTAGTAGTAGTAGTGGCCAAAGTAGTAGTAGTAGCGGTGATATTAGAAGCTGTAGTAGTAGCGGCATGATTATTATTAGTAGTAGTTTTTGAAGTAGAAGTTTTTGTACAGAAGTAAAAATTTACAATTTTCAGCAGTAATTGATGTAATTTAAAAACATTAACACTAACTACATGATCAGAAATTGTAATTAATAAACATTAGTAGTAAAGGCTACAAAAAAATTTGTTGTAAATTTTAATTAGCAGCCAGTAGCGGCATTTATAAAAGCACATTAAGCATCTATAACCGCACACACACACGCACTCACAAACAACAACACACATATACAAAAAACCACATCCAAACAAACATTAACACATTATACGCAAATACATCAAAACATATTTGCAAAAGATAACTGTAAATGCTTATAACCGTAAAAACAGACAAACACACAGACGCATACAAACACACGTGCACACACAAATATACACACACATACAAACACACAAACATACATACATCAACCCATACAAAAGCTAAGTGCACATGTGCGTTCAATGCATAAATATTCATTAAAGTTTAGTTGCTTTTTGTATTTATGCATTGCATTCAACGGTAACTAGCTGATTTATAAGTCTTCCGCTTATTCATGTATGTATGTGTTTGTGTGTTTGGGTGTGTGTGTTCGTGTTTATGTCTGTGTTTGTGTGTGCATGTGTGCGTAATTTTGTAAATTTACAGGTATATAAATTTATCTGCACGTCTGGTTTCGTGAATCTGGATGTATTTATTGCGGATTTACGTAGTTTAAACGAAAAATTATAACAATTCGTATGTGGTGAACTCACAATTGTCCAATTTTTTCTATTAAAATCCGAATGAAAGCTTTATTCTAAAACATTTTGTACTCTGTAATTAGAAAATAAAATAAAAGTGAAATCTAAAAATAGAGACAATAAGAAAGAAAAAGAGTGAAATGGGATGAAATAGGAATTTGATTTTGTACTGTCAGACGTCTGAGGAAAATTTAATGATACGATCGATCACTGCATTAATTCATTCATCCATGCATGTATGCGTGCATGTGTGTTTCCAGGTGTGTGTGTGTGTGTGTATGCTTGTGTCTGTATGTGTGTATATGTGTTTCTTTTGTATATGCATGTATGTATGTATGTATGTATGTATGTATGTATGTATGTATGTATGTATGTATGTATGTATGTATGTATGTATGTATGTATGTATGTATGTATGTATGTATGTATGTATGTATGTATGTATGTATGTATGTATGTATGTATGTATGTATGTATGTATGTATGTATGTATGTATGTATGTATGTATGTATGTATGTATGTATGTATGTGTAAGTTTGTTTATAAATTTATTTGTCGTCCAAGCACTGATTTTTGGTGCATTTCTCAATCAAATTAAACAATCAATGGATGAATAAATACATTCGTCTGTAACTATCTATCTATCTTTCTAACTGTTTCTTTGCTTAAATATATTTTTATCTATACACCTATCCATTCATCCATCTATCCATCTGTCTATCTATCCATCCATTTATTCATCAATCAATTCATCTATCTATGCATCTCTCTGCTTGTCTGACTGTATATCCGACAGTATATAGTTATCATCACCAACTCCATCATCAAAAGCATCCTCCTCATCATCATCAACAACATCAATATCATCACCGTTATCTTAACCAACAACAACAATATCTTCACCATCATCATTAACAACAACAACATCAACAACAACAACATCAACAACAACATCCACAACATCAAAATCATCATCAGTAACAACAACATCATCATTAACAACAGCATCAACAACATTAACAACAACAACAACAATATCAACAGCAACAACATCAACAACAACAACGGTACTAACGGAACATTGTAGTACTTGAGTATCATACGTGCTCTCTGGGCGTATGGACAGAACCTCATGCTGTACACCCGCACCTTGTTTGGGGCCAGGGGCGGGTACGGTGACTCTGATAATTACCCACATGGTGATGATGACGATGCCAATGATGATGATGATGATGACAATGATGATGATGTTTTAGATGGCAGCGATGGTGATAATAGAGAAATGATGACGGTATCAAATAAGGCAGTAAATGAGTTAGCGCAGACTGTTAGTGTGCCACGTTTTGCCATGTTGTTTTTGTAATACTTAGTTCAACTCCAAAACTGTTAAGCGTTGTATAAACTCCACATAATGTTAATAATAATTATTAATAATAATTACTAATAAAAATTAATAATAATAAATTAATAAATTTTGTCAAAAAATAAACGAAGATAATAATTAAAACAACATGTTGCAAACGGTGTAAAACACTAACTGGAATTGAAGGCCTTTTGAGTCATGATTGATTTTTTGCCGGCAGTGGCAGTAACAGAAGTAGTGCTGTTACTACAACAACTACCACTCTCGCTGCTGCTGCTGCTACTGCTGCTGCTTCCTGATTCGCTGTTTTGATCGGCTGTTTTGCTGGGTTTTTCCGGATCGGACGCTGCGGTTGGCAATTTCGCTGATTTTTCTTTCGGAGAAGTCTTATCCACTTCTCTGTCCTCATCCGATTTCTTCAACTTCGTGAAGCTAAGAAATTTTTTCCTTTTCATTCTTTGTAATTTTCCTGTTCAAATGATTTCTTTCTACTGTTGCTCGTTTTTGTTTTTGAATAAATTATTTTGTCTTTTTTTATTACTCTCTCTCTTCTCTCCCTCTCTATCTCTCTCTTTTTCTCTCTTTCTCTCTTGCGCTCTCTCTCTCGCGCTCTCTCTCTCTCGCGCTCTCTCTTTCTCTCTCTCTTTCTCTGCCGTTTCAACAGTGTTAAAATTTGTGAAGTCTTCTCCGAGCAGAATGGCTGTTTGTTTGTTCGTTCGTGTGGTTGTTCGTGTGCTCGCATAAATAAAGTTAATTTCAAAATGGAATCTAGAAAAAAAGTGCGAAACTAAAAAATCAACCAAAAAAATCGAAAACCCAACAAGTGAAGAAATGCAAGTGCGAAATAAACAGCTTCAATTATTATCAATAAATATATAAATATCTCCAAAAATGTTTGTGTAGTGTACGTGTGTTTTTTACGACCTGCTAATATAAGATACACAAATAATTTTTAAGTATATTTATATAAATATAAATTATGTTCTAAAAATATATAGCATTATGATAATTGCTATGTTTTAATTCAGTTATTTTATAAGCAGGGGAGTGTTTGTCAGGTAGCTAGCTATTGAGCTAAATAACTGATGGAGTGATGGATGAGTGAATGAAGCATTGAATAACTTGAAGAATAAAAGAATTATTGAATGACTGAATGAATGAATGAATGAATGGCTGATTGAATAAATTAATAACAAAAGTATGGATGAATTGAATGAAATATTAAGAAAGAATAAATTAAAAATATTTTTTCAAGTGTGTGTCGTGCCTGTATAACAATTTTGCAAACATTTCATTCAATTTCTCGTTACTCAATCATTCCATTAAGTTTTATTTTTTCATTCTGTCATAATTCAATAACTCAATCACATTCGCTTATTTGAATATTCCCTCTTTCTTTCTTTTATTCATTCATTCATTCGTTCGTTCGTTTTAACTTTCATTTTTTTTTTACTTTTCAATTATTCATTCACTCACTCAATTAATGACAGAATTTTAGAAAAGCCGTTGTTAAAATTTAATTTGCAGAAAAAAAAGGTGGTGATTAGAATTTAACTGAGGGAAAACTTTTCCACAAGTGACAAACCTGCTTTTGTATGTTTTTTCCTATGTTGTTTGTATGTAGTTTGTATGTTTTTTGTATGTTGTTTGTATATTGTTTGTCTGCTGTTTTATGTCATTTGTTTGTATGTTGATGTACGTTGTTTGTATGATGAATGTATGTATGTTTGTGGTTTGTTTCTTTGTTATTATGTTATCTGTATATTGTTTTGTCTGCTGTTTGTTTGGCGTTTGCTAGTGTGTAATGATATATTTGTGATTTCACAAGTATGCCTTATTTTATATAAATATGTAATTACTATTTAATAATATATATATATAATTACTTTTTTCATTATTTATAATAATAACGATAATACTTTTAATAATATAATAAATATAACAATACAATTTCTGCCAAACATATTTTCAATCAGAAAATAACGGGAAGAAAATAAAAATAGATTGAAAAAACTAACAGTTGTCAGAGAAGATGAGAAGAACACGTAGTTAGAGAGGCGATGTTACGCTACTCCTTGATCTTCAATGTCCTTCCAAACTAATTAAATCTTAATCTAAAGTTTTTTGTTTAGAAATACGTGCTCTTTGTTTTGCTCTTTCGTTCGTTCATTCATTCTTTTTTCCCATCTGTCTGTCTATCTGTCAAGGTGTTTTTTCATCTATTAATGAAATGTTTGTGGTTTTTGTTTGATGGTTGGATGCCTGCTCGATTGATTGATTGGTTTATTTGGCTGGTTGGGTGGTTTGCTGATTGGTTGGCTGGTTCTTCGATTGATTGGTTTGTTTGTTTGGCTGGTTTGATGGTTTGCTGATTGGATGGCTGGTTCGTCGATTGATTGGTTAGTTTACTGATTGGCTGCTGGGTAGGTTTTTTATTGGCTGATTGGCTGGCCAATTGATTTTGGTTGGTTTGTCGTCATGTTTGATAAACATTTTTTTCGTAAGGCTGATGATGTTTAGACTTTCGAGATGTATGTTAGTTGGATAAGTTACCAAGCAAGAGAATGAACAAACCACTGAACTAGTGATTGGATGAATGAATGGATAGATGAATTGTTAACTGGAGTGTTGAATGAAGTGTCAGATTGTTGGTTGATCGCATGCTAGGTAGAACAAAAAACTTCAATTGGTAGTTATTTGTTGTGGTTTATGACGACGACGACAACGTTGATGGTGGGGATGATTAGGGAAGGAGTTAGCTGATTGGTTGATTGAATTTTGAATGATTCAGCGCTGACGTCATAATGAACCCTCGAACGCAATTAATTTTTAAATTCGGGAAAAAAATATCTCAAATTCCTTCGAAAGATAAAAGATCGAAAAAATTTTCTATTGTTTTGTTTGAAAGGACTTTCAAAACCGAATTCAAAATTCTGACAAGTGATCATTATATGCCCAAAATAACAAATTAATAATAACAATAATAATAATAATATTATTATTATTATTTTGATAAAAATATTTTTTCATTATAAATAATAAAATTAAGTGAACTACGTTTGAAAAGAGACTGATTGCAAGAGAATGTATACACTTCTACATCGGAAAATGTTATCTATTTATCGTTGATAATATCCTTTAACGTATTTTTATAATTAAGTAGTCGCATAATTAGGGATGGACCATAGATACTTGGGTCTGAATCTGAAGTTCGTGTTTTGCTTTTTGCAAAATGAAATCAAATGAAGCGCCAGTAAATGTTTTTTGGTCACATGACGCGGAAGGAAAAAATGGAAAATCTAACAACCACTGGAACGATTGCAGAGAAAAGGGATGGCGGTCAACAACGGACAACACTCGTGAGGTCCTTGTATCACTTGTTGAATATCACCACATTTCAACTACTACAAAGTATTAAAGATCGGGTTTTGTGGAGGTCGATGGTCGCCAATGTCCCGAAAGGATAAGGCACGCGAAAGAAAGAAGAACTATCTTAAAGTAAAAAGTATTTTAGAACATAAACACATAAAAATGACTTATTTTAAGTGTTTCTTGAAGTATCTTTCATTCAGTTGTGGTGTTTAAGCTAAATTATGATGCAAACGTGGAAAATTTTTAGGAGTTGGAAATCGGATTTGAAGCCAGAAGTGGGAGAAGGAGTGGAAATTTTTAGCCGGAGTCAAATTCGAAGTTGAAAAATTTTTCAATGAAGAAATCGTTGTCGGGAAAATGTTTATCAGACTCTGACAACCAGCTATAATTATTTTTAATAATAAAAATATAAATAATAATAACAATGATATATATATATATTTATAACAATTAATTTTATTTTAACAAAATATAACAATAATATTAATATTTACGAAAATTTGTATCAGCCGCAAAAGGAATAAGATTTAGATATTTAAATAAATCTTATATTATTATTAATAACACCAACAAAAAGTTATGGATTAAATAGCAAAACTATAAGATTTAACAATAATAATAATAATAATTATTATTATTAATATTATATAATTATAATTATTATTCTTACCATAATTTTATATTTATTTAATAGTTTCTTTCATTTTTTGATTATTTATAGCGCCCTAAGTGAGCGTCCGGATTTTTTTTTTGTTTACATAATTTTAATATTTTTATTACTGTTTATTTAAAGAAAAAGAAGAAATAAATATATGAAGATTTTCATGAAAATAAATTTTAAAAAAGTATTTTTTAAAATAATGAATGAATGAACGGATGATTTATTGAACGAATGAAGAACAAATGAATGAATGGATGGATGAAGAATGAATGAATGAATGTAAACCATATATATCATTTTATATGTATATATATATACATTTGTTTGTTTGTGTGTGTGTAAGTGTGTATGTGTATATATGTATATAAATAAATGAACACACTATATAAGCGCGTTTATGTATGTATCAATATGTTTGTGTGTGTATGTCTGTGTGTATGTGTTATGTATGTTCTTGGTTAAATTGCTAACTGCTACATACACTTTTGTATAATGTACATATTCAGCCAATTAAATAAATACATATGTAGACATTTTTGTAATAAATAAATAAATAAATATAATTAATTAATTTGATTAATGGAATCAAGTTCAACAAATGAACAATATTTTAACAAACTTGGCGTTCGTAATTTTGGTGCATTGTATTTATACACGAAATACATAAATACCCCATTCTTTTTCATTCCATTTTGGTCATGAACGACAAAACCAAAACTAAGATTTTTTTCAAACTTAGTACATTGTCATTGTGTTGTATTGTAGTATATTGCATTGTATTGTATTTTATTGTATTGTACTATAGTGTATTGTAGTGCATTGTATTTTATACAGTTGTATTGTATAGTTTTGTTTATAAACAAAAAATTGTGTACTACACACGCACGCATATGGATGTAAATGTTTGAGAATATAAATGTCAGATTTTACAATTGGCAGTTAGAGTATAATTGTCGTTTTCGTAGTTATATGCGTGGTTAATTTATTTTTATTATCACATTTGTTTTATTCCCTTTTTTCTGCCTCTTATCATTTACTTTTAAAACCATCATCGTACTCATCCTCATCCTCATCATCAACATCATTATCAGCATCGAAAACGCCATCACCAATAGCAACACCATCATCATCAAGGTCATCATCATAATTCATCACCATCATCATCATCATTCATTATCACTTATCATTATCAACATCTGCCGCAATATCATATTTTGAAACATCTACGCCATCAGTTTTATCACTAATCTTCATGATTAACTGTAACCGTCATCTTCTTCCTCCTCCTTCTCATCACTATCATCATCATTAACCATCATTATCATCGTCGACATTAGTATCATCATCACTGATACTTCCCTAGTGATATCTTATAGGATAGTATCCCGGTCAGCATGAGTATGACCAAGTGACTGGCAGCCACTAGCAGCAGAACGGCCTGCAACAAACTCAAAGGCGATGAATCACTATTGTTGTAGTTGTTGTTGTTGCTGCTGCTGACGTCATCATCGTTGTTGATGTCTTTGTTATTGTTGTCGTTGATGTTGTTGTTGTTGTTACTTAGAGTTAAACCAGCGAGAGTAAAGTAGTAATAAAATTGCCGGTGTTTAGAAGAAAAGGGCGCAATTACATTTTCTGTGAATGATTTTTTATTACTGGAGCTACCACTGGTGCTACTACTGATGCTATTGATGCTACTACTGCTACCGCTAATATTATTACTGCTGTTGTTGATTTGTTTTCGTTGCTGTTGTTGCTGTTGTAAACTGCTTCGTTTGTTGGATGGACCTGGATTTGAACTATCGTCATCTTCGTCGTTATCGTTGCTGTTTCTGGAAGGACATTGCCAGTCTTCGAGGAGTTTTTGTCTTGTTTTGTTTTCTGTATAAAGGTTTGTATGTTTGTGTGGTTTGTATGTTTGTGTGGTCTGTATGTCTGTGTGGTTTGTATGTTTGTGTGGCTTGTATGTTTGTGGGGTTTGTATATTTGTTTGCTTTGTATGTTTGAGAGGATTGTTTGTTTGTATGGTTAGTATATTTGAATAATTTGTATATTACACTCCTTAAGAGAGAAACTATATACAAACGATGACAACAAGTATCAATTCAATTTGTAAGATATCATTCATCATCACTTTGTGTCATTTATTAAAGATTTTGTTATCAGCGCATTGCTTTTTATCATCATCGTTATCATCATCATAGTCATCATAACCATCATCATCTTCATCATCGTCATCATCATCATTACTTCTGGGACCTCAAAGATATGAAAAGTTTTATTGGAGCATATATTGGCCGTCAACGTACGTTAATATTATTGTTGATGCTGTTGTTGTTGCTGTTGTTGTTGATGTTGCTGTTGTTGATGTTATTGTTGTTGATGTTGCTGATGTTGATGATGTTGTTGTTAATGTTGTTGTTGTTATTGATGTGGTTGTTGATGTTGTTGTTGATGTTGATGACGATGTTGATGATGTTGTTTTTGTTGATGTTGTTGTTGATGATGTTGTTGTTGATGCTGTTAATGTTGTTGTTAATGTTGGTTCTGATGTTGCTGCTGTAGTAATTAATGGATTTTGTTGACGAGACCACAGTTATTTATGCTGCTAGTGCAGTAATAAATTAATGTTATCAAATTTTTCATAGCTGATGACGACCGTATCCTAATGACATGGCCTCAGATTCACTTATTCAGGATGAACTTATAACTTCAGGCAATTATCCTTGTTATTTTATTATTATTATTATGTTCCCCATTGCTGATGAGGATGTGTTTGCCTGGTTGTAAAATTGCTGACGCGAGTTTCACTGTTGCAATTCAGCGGTCAATCCACGTCAAACGATAGTGCCTCGCTGTTCAGACATCGAAATGCCAACAGTAATAAATTTTATAGTTCTGTTATTATACTACTACTACTACTACTACTACTACTACTACTACTACTACTACTACTTCCACCACCACTACTACTACTGCTACTACTACTACCAACACTACTACCATAGTAGCATTAGCTGAAATAGCAGTAACCGAAGCTGTTGCATCAGTAGTAGTAGTAATAGCAGTAATAGTAGTTGTAGTAGTAAATTTATTAGTAACATATAGTAACATAAACTACCATAACCCAATAACATTACATCATCATCATCAACGCTATCATCGTCGTCATCATCAGCATCTTCATCATCACCATCACAGGCTGACAGCTGTAAGCCAGGAATATTCATGGGATAATCGGATCGTTACTTCTTCCCAGTAGTTTTACTTCCGACTTTTACTAACATACTGTTGTTAACACAAATACGACTAGTAGTATTTCAAATTTCTTTTTTACAACAACAACTACTACTACTGCTGCTGCTGCTGCTGCTACTACTACTACTACAACTTCTACTACCTCTACTACGACTAACACCACACCAGCATGCATACTTTCGCGGAATGATGAATTGATATTGTTCTTTGAAAAAAAAAATTCATTAAGAAATTGGTGACTGAAGAAAATATGTGACAGGGAGAGAAGAATGTTGACAAAATTTCAAAGTGAAAAATTGTGTCGTGAAAACAAAGTTTCACACCATTGGGGTATATAAGATTAAAAATACACCAAAGTTCAAGATATAATACCTAGAAAAATAGCCGCAACGAAATACGCAGTACCAAAATACGCAATACCAAAGTACCCGTTAAAAATATCAGCAAAGTGTATAATATAAAAATGTAAGCAAAAGTTGAAAATACACGCAGGAAAAAATTTTTGGTTGTCAGCTGAAAGGAACTTATCAGAGAGTGATCAATCATCATCAACCCCTCCCAGTGTCTTCATTCATTCATTAATTCATTCCTTCATGCATTCATTCGTTCGTTTGTTTGCTTATTTAATTATTCATTCATTTATTCGTTCAATCATTCAATCGCTTACTCAATCATCCGTTTGTTTTTAATTAATCATTAATTTTTTCAGATTACTTTTATAATCTGTTAAATTATTCAATAAAAATTCTCATCAATCTTTCAATTAATTTATTCATTCCCCTACCCATCCATCTATCTGTTCATCCACTCACCCATCCATCTATCCACCTCTCCAACTATATCTTGTTCAATTCATCCGTCCATCCATCATTTCGACCCTCCATCAACAAACAAATTACTTTTTCAAGTGACGCTATAAATAATAATCTTTTTTCTTCTTTTTTTCTGAACCATTTTTCTATTTTTTTATGTTTTATTTTTGTTTTTAGTGCGTGATTTATTCCTTAAAGCTGAGATATAATTAACAATGATCACTTTGTGTGTTGTGAGTGCTGCTTCATTTATGGCTGATCCATGTTAACGAGATACAGATATGTATCCTACACACACACACACACACATATACACACCACACACACACACACACACACACAAACACACACACATATAAGCACAAACATTAACTGTACAATCCATTGACAATTTTAAAATAATGCTGCTAAAACAAACTACAAACGGACAGAAATGATGAACGTGAAAGCCGATTCATAAACATAAGCCAGAATTTATTAAATACGAACAAAAATAAATAAGACAAAAAATTGTAAAAAAAAAAGTAATGCCTCACATAAATAAAAAAATTGCAGAGACAAAAATGACGTAAAAATATGGAAAGCCAATTCAGCAATTGTCTATTCACGGAGAAAAAACTTGCACATAATAAAATGCATCGGCCACCTGGTGCGAATAATTTTTAATTATTCAAATCTCGTTACAGACGTTTCTCTATGTAAGCCGGGGGAATTAATGTTACATAAACCGCAATAAGAACCATGAGAAAATTGGTTGAAAGTAACTGCACATACATACATGGATACAAACATAGGGACATACATACATACATACATACATACATACATACATACATACATACATACATACATACATACATACATACATACATACATACATACATACATACATACATACATACATACATACATACATACATACATACATACATACATACATACATACATACATACATACATACATACATACATACATACATACATACATACATACATACATACATACATACATACATACATACATACATACATACATACATACATACATACATACATACATACATACATACATACATACATACATACATACATACATACATACATACATATATACATACATACATACATACATACACACATACACACATGCATACAGGCATGCATAATGCATACAAGAGGAACAAATTATAAACAAAATTAGCCTCTGGCAAAAAACAAATCAAAAAGAATAAATAAAATTCATATGTAGAAAAAATTATTAAAATCAAAAAATAGTGAGATAATATTTTTTCAAGATGAAAATATCAAAACAAGCGTGTGGTGTTTTTAAATTTGTTCATTTAAAATACGACACAAAATCATTCTAACGAAATAAATAAAATATCATAAACCTTCTTCATATTTTTGTTGTTGTTGTTGTTGTTGAGTCTAACTTCAATTAATGTCGAATCAACATTATCGATAAGTTTAATTCATTATGTATTAAAACGAAAATTCTCGAACAAAATCAAAAAATTTATTTAAAAATTGCTTATAAATTGTAAGATTGCTTTGGAATTTTATAGCACTTATGAATAGCAATTGCGCATCTGCACGTTTTTAGGCCTATAAATTCTGATGGGACATTTTTGATTCTATGTTTTCAATAGCGAGCGTCTACGAAGAAAGAATAAAAAGGAACTAAACAAAATTTATTCATCTTTTTCATTTATATTTAATTTTATGTGATAAGCTCTCCATTCCAATAAATAAACAAATGAAAAAAATTATTTCTGGCTGAAAATTCTTAAAAAATTTTCTCTCTCCCTCGGCTTAAAATCAAAACAAATTTATATTTTAATACATAAACAAACAAACCTTCATACACACCGATATACAAACTAATAAACATACACACAAACAAACATACATACATAAATACAAACAAATAAACAAACATGCATACATACATACAAACAAACAAACATAAAACGAAACAGTTTGGGCGAAACTTCATACAATGAGCATCATCTGTTCTTGCAGGAAAGTAAAAAAATCTATAAACTGAATGTAATCCTATTTTTACATTTTTTTAATATCTGCGTGATGTGTATTTTTAAATTTAGTCTAGTAATTTTCTGTATGTAGACATACAAAAACATTTTACCCGAACAAACATACAAATAAACAAACATGTACCTATGCAAAACAGAACAATCGCTGTTACATACAAACGCATATAAAACGTATGTATAGAAGATGCATAAATAGAAGCAGATTTGTTGTAAAGATTTTTCATCGAGTAATTGTACAAATAAACTCAATGAAAATAATAAAACATGATACTAAACAATATACAATGTAATACAATACGATAAAATGAAACGATACAAATCGAAACAGTTCGAAACGAAACCATAGAATGGACAGCAATTCACAGCAGACCAACAGTACAATTTTATGCATACAAAACTCGTAAAACATGTCCAGTTTCGTGCAGGTTATGATGATGATGTCATTTTTGACGCCACCATATATTGGCAACTATGGCGATAAAACAATGGTGATAAATTTGATGATGATGACAAAAAAAGTGATGACGGATCGGTTGATGGTGATGACGAGAATGATAATGATAAGAGAAAAGTGATAATGATGATGATGATGAAAAAATGGCGATGATGATAATAATAAAGACAACGATGATATAGAGATAGTGATGATAATACAAATGAAGGTAATCACTATTTATGAGTTAGGTTTTTGCGGCAATGATGATGATGATGATGACGAAGAAAAGGCTGATGTTGATGATAATGATGACGGATAGCGATGAAGATAGTGGATACTCTGATAAAGTTGAATCGACGATCCCTTTTTTAACACTTTTGGAAAGATATAAATCGGTCGCAATTAAATTTTTTTGAAATAATTATGCCATTATTTTAAGGACCCTTACAAGTAAACTATGAATAAATATTATAATTATTATTTATTTATAAATATATTTATTATTATTATTTGTTTATTTATTTATTTATTTGTTTATCTTCATCATGACGTCATTTGCTGACGATGATGATGATGAGGTGTCGTGTAACAGTTACAAATCGATTGTTTGACTGGCTAAACGGTTCATATTTTATGAGGTCACGTAGTGATGATGATGATGGTGACGATGTAAACTACTGTAGTGATAATGATAGTGAAAATGATAATAATGATGATGATGATGATGATGTTTAAGATAAAGATGGCGATGAAGATTTAAAGTTGTGGTACCGATTACAAACTAAAAAGTCTAAAAAATCATTGATGACTGTTTTTAAAATGACTATTAATCACAAAGTTATTTAATTTGATGATGATAAAAGTAAAAACTAGATAAAAGCAATGATGAAGTAGGATGTTGATAAGATGATGAGGTCATCAATTCTGATATTGTTGATAAAAATAGAGATGATATACAAATGATAAAATATTTCTCAAAAACGCCACCAAATTATACACTTTTATGTCTAGGAGGTTGAATGCTGCATCATCTAGTAACAAACTACCATTTTAATTTACCATATCAGAGCCATCTTCTAAATAACCAAACTATTTAGTACCACTTCATAATGACATCTCTTCTGTCAATTCAAGATATTACGCATCAAAAACTTAAAAATTTTCATTACCAAATTAAACATTCTCATGTCTAGAAGGAGATTAAGTAATACGTGAATCTGGTACCGAACTACCAGCATAACTCACTGTATCAGTGCAGCATTCCAAAAATCGAACTATACAACGTAGCTCATGAATCTAGTGAAAAACTAACAGCTTAATTCAACATCTTAGAGCCACATTCCAAAAAATGATTGAAATATAGCGCGTAGTTCATAATGATAGTTATTTCGTTGCTAAAAACTAAAAAAAAATAACTTTTCAAAACTGTTTTGAAACTGAGTTTACTGACTTTAATTACAACATTGCTCACAATGGAAAGGCCCTCGAACCCACCCCCTTCTAGTTCTGTCACCAGTTGTATATAATGATAATGATGATAATGGGTTTGTTGTTGTTGATAGAAAAAAATGGTGATAATGATGATGACGACGATGATGACGATGGTGTAAATGCGGATGACGACGATGGTGATAATTAATTTACCCGAAGTCAATGTTTGACAAATTGAAAAATTGGATAAATGATCATGGTTTTCAATTTTTCATCTTGGCACTAGAACGCAAAGCCTAGTAGTAGTAACAACAGTAATAGTTGCTGTAGTGGTAATAGTAGTAGTAGTAATAATAGAGTAGTAGTAGTAGCAGTAGCAGCAGAAGCAGCATCAGAAGTACAGGCAGTAGTAATACTTGCTGGTCATACAATAATCGTGACTATAAACCGTACCGACACTGTTTGAAAATGAGTAACTCAAAAAATATCATGATTATTTCGAAATGATAGTGATGAAGATGACGCCGATGGTGATGACGATATAAGTACACGGATGAAAATGAAAAATGTCGGAATGGGAAGAAAACATTGCAACTGATGTACTGCTTAATACTTTTATCCATCCAAACATCCATCAATCCATCGATCAGACAATTTTTCTATCAACCGTTTATCCATTAATCAATCAATCCTCAACTTTTATATATATGTATCTATTATAGAGAAAGAGAGAGAGAGAGAGAAAGAAAAGAAAGCAAGAAAAGGATAAAATATATCCAAATACGTAAGGTAAGTGTTAATATCTAACCTTTAGTTTAATAAACTACCATTTTTGTTTTTCACTAATTCATTCAGTCACTCATCCACTCAATCATATCTTTCCATCTATCTTATAATTCATTTTCATTCATTTATTTATTACATTTTAAATCAGCCAATCTATGTGTCCAGATTTTATTTAAAAAAAAAATTCAAAGTGAATCCAAAGAGGCGAATCAGATTGAAAATTATAATGAATAATTTTCATAACTATTGTCCCTATGTCTGCCTGCCTGTATGTTTGTATGTATGTCTGTCTGTCTGTTTG